GCTTTCAAGGTAAAACTGAACCTCAGCAGTAAGGCACGGCGCAATAGGATTTATCCCGAGGTTGATAAAGGAGATGAGGTTAAGATATTCAAGAAACGAAAACCCAATGAAAAAGAGCGTGTGGGCAACTGGTCGCAAAATGTTTACACTGTTGAAAAAATTGACAAAAAGATGGGACAAAACTATTATTATGTGGAGGGACAAACGAGACCGTATTTAAGATTTGAACTGTTAAAGGTTTAGGACCGTTTTCCAGGAAAAAGGCTTTAAAGAAATAGCGCCTTAGTATATTAGCAGGTAAAATGTCAACTAAGAAAGAACAGGAAGAAATCATAAATGATTTTTTGGATGTTATCAAGGTTAGAGATTACATCAGAAAATGTAGGGAAAAGAGGGATACATGTAAATGCAAGGACGGTAAAAAACACAAGCGTTATTGCACCATATACGAATTACCACTACCAGAAAGTATTATTAATAATATCTATGGCTTTACTTATCGGTGTTGGACATGCGACAAGACTGAAGACAAAGAGAAAGAATTAAAAGAAAGACTTGAAACCAATGATTTATGCTTATATAATGTTGACAAACTTATTTTGAAATTGGATCGTTTGTTTCCGATGTATGATTCAGTCAAACACGTTATTACAAACATAACTATGAAGAGATACCGAATGTTTAAGACGTTATTTGATGAAATGATGTGTTGTAGAGACAAAGAAGAAATACAAACGTGGATACAATATAGAATGAAATATAATGTTAATGCTACAACATATGATTTCAACAAAATCGTTAGAACACTATTGAATAAACCTGAGTTTGACTTAATGGATTAAACAAGTATAACATTATTAATAATATAATGTTATGGTTGATGCCGTCGCGAATGCTCGCGAGGCTCTGACGAGTGTCCTAAACCGCTAAAGTTTACTACACCTGAGTTGTCAAAATTGATTTTTGCGTTTTTTTGTTTTCTGCTTGTTCGTGTATAGGTTTTCCCAATGTTTTTGTTGCTATTTTTGTGTTTTTATCGTTTTATAACCGTTATGTTTCAAAATTTTGGGTTTATTTTTTGTTGGATTTTTTGTTTTACGTGTTTTTAAAAATACTCCTAATAAACCCGAACCACCTAAGGCGCTTGTAGTGGTAGTTCTGGATCTGCTTGTCGGGCTCGGCGTTGTAGACGGAGAAGACAATCCTCCTGAGACAGGGCGGGTTGCCAAGGGCAGGAGATGAGGGGTTAGGGCAGGGGCTTTGCGCCACTCTCGGCACTGTTTTTCAGCGACTGGGTTCAGCCACTCTCGGTCTGCGCTTTCTGCGACTCCCGCCGATTGGCGCATGACAGCAGAAATGGGGACAGGCATCCTTATTGTGGCACAAATCTGCACGGGGGAAGCCAACATCACACCGGTGTGGTGTTGAGTTCGCTCTGTTGTGGTCTTAATCTCTGCTGGTCACGATCTTCACCGCATGCCGTCTGTATGGATTTACTTGTAGCGCCTTGGTCCAAAATGAGCAATTACTGTCCAGCTCAACATCAAGGTGGCAACAGCCTGCATGACCAGTCTGACGCGGACCACATGCCTGCGGTGGCGTTGATGCCAATTCTGCGTCATGAGGACAAAGTGCGATGTGGAGACACCAAGAGCCAACCAGGCCACCGTGAGTCTGAGATCCATTTTCCAATCGTACCCCCAAGACCACCCACACAGAAACAGACAAGACAGGCCCATGGAATAGATATCACGCAGATGAGACATGATCTGGTACGTAGGCAAATGCCGCTCGTAGTGGTGCTCCGAGAGCGCCAAGAACCATGCCAAAGGCAGGATGTAGAGCAGCAGCGGCCAATTCAAGAACTTCAAATCAACCGGTCGATTGGTTCTTTGCGCGAGGATGTGGACGTCCAAAAAGAACAGAACGAAGCCAGCAAATTGACCCACATTGCAGAACAATATCAGGCAGCCATTGCAACCACAGCGCATTTTCAGCGTGGAGCGACAGGGACGGCCGACATTTCTAAGCTTTGTGAGCATTGGACTCACGCGGCACTACATATTTGGTGAGTATATATATATACACACATACATAACGCAAACATACCCTCTTCAAAGATCCTGAGATCTTTGCTGCTGCGTCGGCGAGCTTGTCCAAGATAGCAGCCTCGACTCAATCAGCCAAGCCGGGATGTTCCTTCGATGCCTTTGGTAGCTCCAGCGATTATAACAATAATCATGAGCTTACCTACAATCACAGCATAATTCAGCATAAAAGAGTAACAGTATGAAATAAACGGTAGTATAATCGTAATCATCATGATGATACTCGCGATGATAATAGCCTGATAATAGCTTAAGCGTATATACACATGTTATATATGTATATGTAAATTCAGGTCCGGGCTAATTTCTGCCTGGCAAAGCCTCAGTCCACATCACAAATTAATGCATTCTTGCCACCTCAGGAGCGCACTTGCCCCAATGAATGCTGATTCGAACTGGGGACGTCGCCATCCTGTTGCAAGTAGCAAGTGCGCCACCTTCGTGCGTGGGCTCTTCGGGGCTTCAGCAATTGCTATTAATTGCATCCATAAACTCCTATATACATCTTGCAACACAGTAATTATACCGTGGGTCCTGAGATGTCCTAGGCATGAGCACGAATCAAACGAAACCACAGAGTCATAGGCCCCAAAGCACGGCCGACTCTCAACCCACCCCGACACGTTGAGACTACATGTCAGAAGCTGAACACATCGATGCGCTTTGGGGCATGGGCTGGCCCGACGTCGCCGCTTTGGGCTCCAGCGTTGACCGAAGTTGGCCGCTCAACAGCTTCACAAGATCCTCGGGCTTATCGAAGCTTCCCGGCGATCAACAGTGCCATGGAGGCACTGACAGAAGGATGTGAGGCCATGCTGTCCGAGGCCACGGCCAGCTCTTCCGCTCCAAGGAGTTTGGGCAACTTAACCTTGGTCCCGGATTCAGTCAAGAAAATACACTCGCGAGCCTGGACACCTATGGCCCATGGCAGCGTTCGCGCGAGATTGGCTTCACAGCAGCTGTCACACTCACCAGGTTCAAAAGTTCCTGACCGAACCAAGGTTGCCCAAAAAGACCTTCACTGCTCTGAGGAACGTGCCACGGAACTTTGCCTCAGCAATAAGTATCGGAGCTCTTGAGAAATCACGTACAGGCAACGGAGCTGCCAAGCCGCCGCGCGGTCTCTGGATCAGGCAAGCTCACGGCTAAACGGGGCCTTTGCCAAAAGTCCCACAAGTGGAGGAAAGTGTAGAACCAGCGGTAGCCCGAGGACTGCGCAATGTCTGGGACTCGGCCTCCGCGCCTTCGTCCTAGGCCCGGACATTGGGGGCTGGTTGGGCTCTGCTGCGATTGCCAAGGACGCAAATTCATCGAACCAACTCAACAGAGTGACTCAACCGTGCTACAGCAGCATGTGCTAGCTTCATCCTTCCTGAGAAGGTGTGTGAAAATGCTACCGTATGCAATTCTCAAGTGTTCATGTGCGCTGCACAGAGTTCCGGGCCAGTTCAAAACAACTTCGTTTCGCAACAGGTATCGGTAGAGTGTTACAGAATTCACAAACAGCACGAATGCACGGCATCAATTCACACAGTATTCCAACAACTGGGTCATCTAGGACATGCGAGCATTTGGGCAGTCGCTTTTCATTGGGGTCCAGCTCTCACTTTTCCGAGTGAAACGCTTCAGCAGCGTGCAAGTCCTTCACTTGGAAAACAAGCGGCTGGAAAGGACAAGCACTTGCCTTGATGCTCAGCCACGAGCAAACCACTTTCACAGCAGAATGCATTGGCAATCTTTTCGGAACGTCTTTTTGGGTGGACCTGAAAGAAGCAAAAAACCATGCTGTGCACTCAAACTCAAACTACTGAAGCCACATCCTTCTCAGTGGTATAGAGTGTAGACATCGGCTGACCCCAAACTTGCCTCCTGCTTGGCCAGAACGACCTTGGCATCCCAGCGAAACCCAGTTTTCGAGTCTTCGGCCTCTTTCATCTTCGAATCATTGGACTCTGCGAGAAGTGAATGGTCGTGTGTGTGGGGACATGCATGATGCGTCTTGACAACATCGCTTACACCTTTTAAATCAACAGGGTAGCTTGAGCCTCTGACCAGCTTCTCCGGGATAGCCCAAGCTTCCCAGTGGCGATCCTCCACCAGAGACAGATCCTCCTGTCCGCAAGGTCCGGCGCAGTGCCTACAGAGTTGCCCCATGCGTGATACTGTCATGCTCATCGGCCTTTTCTTCCAGCCAGTTGATGGTGACAAGCCTTCCACGCAGACTCACTAAACAGCACATGGCTCTTGCCAAACCCAACCCAACCTGTGGACATAGGGCCGCAACTCCTCCTGAGCCAATGCCCGGAGCAGGCACACAACTCTCTCTCAACCAATCCATCATGCGCGAGGTTGCAATCAAGAGACGTCCGATTGGTTCAGCGTCTTGCCAAACCTGCTTAAATTGTGTATACGGCTTTCCAAAATGAGAAGAAAAACCAAAGGCGATTGATTTTCTTGCAGCAAAGCAGCTCACTGAAAAGCTCGGAAACTTCGCATTTCCGTGGATTTGCAGCCTTCTCATCATGACAAAAACTGGTTCGATGGTTTGCGTGGATGCCAAGGCTGTGGCGGCTCGCTGCGCGAGGAAAGCTGGAATGGTGTTGGGGCCTGAAGTTAATGACAATTTCTTGGCCGCCCTGCCCCCCCCCCCGGCATTACACCACAATTCGACCCAATAGTAGAGTCAGTGAAAATCACCCCTACCCATCCCGAAACTCGCTTGGTCAATGCATCTTTTCGGCTGCTGGCAGCAAAATTGTTGGTGCACGATTCTTTGCACATCCGTAGGTGCCACACTCGTTGCAGCGATCTTGGCCAAGAATGGGTCGGCAGGAGCTGGACGAGTTTGAGGACCTTGCCATGCGAGCCCATCGAGTGCTACCAAGCATGTGCATGAGCCCTCAACCCTTTTCCACAGGCTTGAACTGAGCTCGCCCGGCCAGATCCCTCAACCCTAAACCCCGAAACCCTGAACCCTAAACCCTTATAAACCCTAAACAACAATCGTGGGCTGTCTTCTTGCTGGCCTCGAACTCCCTGAGCCTTCTCACGAGCCTTGCGCTCCCGCCACCTCTTTCGCTGCAGCGACGCTTGCCAAGGCCCAACACTCGACGCCCCGCCTGGCGACACCTTTCTTGAGTGATTCTTTGGCTCTTTTCTCACGCAACTCCTGCGTGCACAACGCCAATGCACGACCACACAACATGGTCAACGACGTGAGCATCCTTCGACTTGCCGGAGTCCGGCTTGAAGAAATCGCCGTCCTGCAGCACTTGAACGCTGCCGATCCGGCTCCTTCAACTCCTACCTCCCACTCCGTCCTCTACCCACGAAAGAACCTGATCATCCTGATCGAAAGTTAAAGACATCCGAGACGGTAAGAACTTCGACAAATCCGCTGCAAGCCGACTGCCGAGGCAGCCGCTGTCACAAGCGGCCGCCTGAGCAAGGATAAGGCTTCCCAGGAGTGCGGAAGATCGCTGAGTTGAAGATCTCTGCCTGGCCCGCTGCTTCTGCCTCCGGCTGCCCCCATGAAATGTCGGACCAAGCTTTAAAAACGCAGTCTGCGGCACAAATTCTCCTATATGTTCCCTTCTTGCATCAAGAGTGCCGATTCCGAAACCAGTGTTGAAGCCGTCTGGCTGCCCAGGTCTTGGGATGTCGGCGCCTGGGGCGCTCCGGAGCTTCCATGAGAGACGTCTAAGTAGCCCGGCCCGTCCACTAAAGTGTCTGCTGTATCTAGTCATGGCCTGGACCCTGCCAGCTGTAGGAATGCGCAAGCTTTCACAAAATGGGTGCGGCAGGGGGGCTTTTCGGCATCATCGCGTAGCTTTGCGAACCTCACTCCAGGAACAGTGCCAGTCCCATGCTGCTACGCTTCATCTCCCGCCAGGCCGCGAAATCGCAGGCGTGAAGCCCTGCACGGCCGGGCGAAGAGTGTAGTTGACGTAGGCATTCACATCTCGGATCCACAGAACTCCACGGTCCGTCACGGTCCCTGCAAGTGCCTACTTGACGAAAACTTGCAACCGCGGGACTGTGGGCACCTTCGTCGGCATCCTGGGGCACATGGAGTGTCTGATACGTTTGCGGAAGTCTTGTCGGGCAGTGGCCCTATGAATTCCGATTATGGCAGAGCCGGCCAGGACACGTTTTCAGCCAAGAAGTCATAAATCTCGTCTATCCTTGGTTGCATAGCTGTGGCGTTTGTCGGCTGCTGCTTCGCCGCTACCGTCTGAATGTCAACATACTTCAAGCAACATAGTGGCTTTGGGCTGGTTCGACAATAAGGGTAAGAAATGGCGTGTGTTTCAGAGCGCAGTTGAACACATGACGATCATGCTGAAGTAGTGCTCGAATATTCGCGTGCGGCCTGGTTCCGAAAAAGGAAATCACCTTTTACGAGCGACGGCGCATGCCTTGCCTGGAGTTTTTGAGCCTAATTTTTGAGAGAAGCTGGTAGCCCAATGACCCAATGCTTTTCGTCGGAAGAGCTTGTAATGCTTGTGGAGCGCACAGTGATATCAAAAACATCTTGCAGTCGGATTGGCCCAAAATCTGTCAAAGGTTGTGGCGACGGGTTGCCGGCGAAGGAGTTGCTTGGAGTTAGCGGGCGAAACTTGCTTGCGCTCATCGGATACATGCCAGCGGTATCTGTGAGGGCGTTCGGTCTTCAGTATAACAAACTCTAACTCTAATGCTTGCCCGTCCTGGGCACCACAACATCGGCCATCAGTCGATATATTGAAGTTTAGGACGCTCGCCACTCTGGGATACAATATATCCTCCTTCGCTAAACTTGTGTTCCAACTGCAACCACTCGGTGCCGCCTCGATTAAGGAACCATCGACAAGCGTCAGCTTCAGCGGGACGCCCCAGCCTTCTAGTCGTGTGGACGGGACGTACCGCAAGTCATCGACCTCCAATCATCTGACTGCTCGGCATCGCATGGAAGGACCAGTCTTGTCGCAAACAATCTTCCAAGCACGCAGACTAGTTCTGGGCTGTCAACGGTAGTCTCTGTATGGCTCGTCATGGCATGATGAAAACGAAGAAAAACACCACAAAAGCACTCAGAGTGATGATGATGATGGTGATGATGATGATGCTCATGATGGTATGGTAACGAAGGTGAAGGTGAAGAGGTGGTCAGGAAAATGAAGATGCTCGTGCTGGCGATGATGCTGAAGACGATGGTCATGGTGATGAATCAGTGATGATCTCGAGAGTATACAGTCGGATGGAGCGACTAGGATCTTGGAGACAGCCATGAGGGGCAGGGAGTTGGGCTTCAATGCTGCCTGCCTTCTCCAGCCAATGCTCGCCCACCAGCTTCTTGATTAATGTCCCCGCCTCTCCCAACCCACATGAAAATGGGAAGTGGCGGGACAGGCCAATGCGTGTTCTTCTCGGACTGGTTGCAAGTCAAGGAACGAACTCATCTTTCCTCAGGTGCTGAACTACTCAGAGCATCTTGGAACTGCGAGTTCCCAAGCTCTTCGCTGACCTGCAGCCACGCGGCTGTAGCTCTGCACATAGGTTCTTCAGGAGGTCCTGTTGCTTTCCCAGGTGGATCATCTGCTTCGTCGTGTGGCAGCGGCACTGGTGCATACTTTTGCTGCTGCTGTCACACTCAAAACCCCTTTTTTTCTCTGCTTGTCGCAATTTGTGAAGTCAATGGAACAGCCTAGAAAAGGCAGAAAATATCGGCCGCAGCTTCTAAGGCACAATCTGGCATCGTGAGCACGAAGCCCTCCACTTCAAAGGCGTGGCTTGGGCACGCGCTGAAAAGCATCGCGCCGCCGTCTCACTTCCTTACTGCAGCCTCCCACGCTCCTCGGCGCCCGAAAAAAAACGACAGAATGTGCGTGTGTATATATACTTGTATACTTATGTATGTACGTATGTATGTACGTATGTATGTATGTATGTATGTATGTATGTATGTAGGTATGTGCGCGCACATGTGTACACACACACATATATATATACACACACGCACATACGAATGTGTATATATATATATACACACACCTTTCAAGTCTACTATATTATATAATGCTGTTGGGATTGTTGGCTGACCCCACAAGATCCGTCAACAGCCCTTGCGAGCCAGGGAACATCAGACCCTGCAATGTCGGTGTTCTGGCTCTTCATGCCCAAGAGCAGAATCGGCACGACAAAAGCAAAAATCACGAAGACAAAGGTGATGGCAAACATGGAGTTCGCGGGGCTCTCTGGCTCCTCTGTGGGCCTCACAGCAAGTGACACCCTTCTCAAGCCCGGCAGGGCCTCGAAGATGAACGAAAAAGGCACATTCCTTTCTGCAAAGGAGCTCATAGGGCTTCGTCATGTCAATCTCGGCAAGGAGAAGCTGCGGTATCTGAATCATCGGCTCGGATACATCCGTCACAGCTGGAGGGCTCAGAAAGGCAAGGCCTGGGAAGCATCCACCCATTCACACACTTCGCCACTGCATGCTCTTAACCTTCACTGCAAAAGGAAAATACATGGAAACAAGGCTTGTGTCAGCAAAGCAGCCCTTCAATGCGGCCAATGCGGCTGCCAAGAGCAGCAGTCCAGCAACTCGACGATATTGAGCCTTAGCTTGTCGGCACGAGCACGGCCAGTCAGGACTCACACGCGGAAAGCCGCCCCTCGACTCAGCTGGGCAGCCATGTTCAAAGTTGGTGCTGCTCACACAGCAAATGCGCAGGTCTTCTTTGTCCAGCTCGAGCATAAATGGCACCAAAGCCACTGGTAACACAGAACGTCGCAGCATATCATGTTTGGCCGTGTGTGGTCCATGCACTCCCGCAAGAATCGCAAAATGTGATCTTCGACTACAAAACCGCTGGGGTTTGAGAGGCTTCGGGCCCGGGAGCCGAGACTAAAATCCCAACAAGCAACTCTTACATGTATATACATATGTACATATATATATATATATTATATTCATATATATATATATATTCCATATATATATATATATTTGAAGCCTGTCCTTCGTGAGCTTCTGTTTCATCAGAAGATGAAGGCGGCCGTTGCCATGTTGCCAGGCGAGCTCTGGGCATTTGAACTCGAGAGAGACGCTTTAAGTCCCCATGGATAATCCCTGCCGCGCAATAAAGGCCGTGAAATCTCCGTCCGTATACGTACCATGTAATCTGGTCTGCAATAGAATCAATACAGCAGCTAGGAGATCATCCCTACTCAGCTTCTGAATGGATTTCACAGACTTGAGCCCTGCATGTGGCATGCAGGAATTCGCCTTTACGTGCCAGGTTTCTTTTTCTCGCAAAGGAGGAGGCCCTCTCTAAACCCTAAACCCTCTGTTGAAGGTCTGCTTTGTACTACGTCCACACACTGTAAGCAGTCCCTGGAGGCTCCGATGTGGCTGATCGCAACAGGCTCGCTCTCTACTTGGGTAGTTCTCTTAATTAGGGTCCCTTTAAGGGGTCCTTTTTATAAGGGTGCCATACTATGTTGGGGATCCAAAAAGGGACCCTAATTTAGAGAACTACCCAATTTCTTTCGCGGGGCCAAGGAAGGGGTGAATCTGAGGCAAAGGGGGCGATCCTCTCTCTCTCGCTCCCGCGCGTGCGCGCGGAACGTCCAAGGGCTGAAATGCCTAGCAACGCGTGGCTGACTTGGCCACCCACGGAATCGCCAGCTTGCTCTTCGTGCTGGAGGGCTTTCACAACCTGAGGATCAGTTGCATCTTGCAAGCTGGTCCTCCTGTAGGGGACCCATGAAGAGGAAGAGCAGGGTGCTCGACTTTTTCGTTCAGTGCGAACTCAAGTCTCAGTGGCCAATCAGTTCCTCCAGCGCGACCTCCTCTGCCTGCCGTGTGTGCTTTGGCAAAGCAGCACCACAAGCCCAACTGCTGCCTTGTGGGTGGGTGTGGGAAACAGGCAAATGGCGGTTTCCGAAAATAGGGGACGCTAATATAGTACCCTAGATAGTAGGATCCTTATTATAAGGACCCCAAAATAAGGTACCCTAATTTTCGGAAAGTCCCAAATGAGTGGTAGAAGCAGTTCTCCGTCAAACGAGGTGATGCACACGCGACTCATCAAACAGAACTGCGCACACAAGACGAAACACTTCCTTGGAAAATGCCGAGGTCCAGAGGCTCCTAATTTCCATGCGCATATGAAGCGGAATTGTGACTGTCCGTACATACAGATCATGCAGTACAAGTCTGAAGCGAGGGCTTGCTCCGCACGAGCTTTTCTCTGCTATTCTCTGTCGCTCAGTTGCTGGTACGGTGCTCTCGCTCACAATGGTTAAGTTGGTACCATCAGTGATGCAGCAGTCGCTCGTTGTTTCGGCATTTCGGCAGTGCAACGCATGACTCCAACAGTCACCGTAGGGAAGGGAGCAAAAGAAGCCTGACATCTTCAGCCCCATACTTCGGAACTCGTAAACGCCTAGTCCCATCTGCATCCAGCCTGCCTTGCTGAACCGACACCTCCCGTAAAGCTGTTATCCATTTTCACTCATATATATATATATACACACACATACACATTATTATGTGTGTATATATCTATATATACATATGTATATATATATATGTATATATATATATAGTTATATGTATATATATATGTATATATATATATATGATCTCATATATACTTAGTGACTTAGTTGCTGAGTTCCTAAGCCTAAAAAAGTGTACACTTTCAATTCTACAGATGGTAACATTATTCCAAAAGGTGTAAAGTGTACTCGCTCCGCTACTAAGTATATATATATATATAGATCGTGTTTTATACTCCCCCCTTGACTCTAATATATTCTATTCATATTCTATTGGACACCCCGAGATCCGTCCGGTGCCTGAGCGAGAAAGCGCTGGACTCGTAGCCTCGGCATCTGTGAAAAGCCTGGTGCCTTTGAGTTTCATGAAGACGACATGGGAAGTTCTCTAGACTATCGTGTCCCTCTTTAGGTCCCCAAAAGAGTACGGCACCCTTATAAAATGGACCCCAAAAGGCACCGTAATTTAGGGAACTACCCACAATGACTCTTGGCTACGTCAGGATTTGTGAAACTCTGAACATGCTGAACAGTTCAAACTTCCGTGGTGGTTGCCACCACCGTCGCCTCCACCACCACCATCTTCAGAATTGTTCACCATCAGCCGCAGCATGGCGACACTGTCGCAAGCATCACAGAAAAGCACACACTTTCTGCGACCCGAAAGTCTCTTGAAGGCGGGACTCGGCTTCCACGGAGCTCCGCTGAGCCGCCACCCAGAAAGCCTCTCGATGCTCCGCCGACCGATAAGGATTCCCATCCCACACTCTATGTAGTAGGTGCCGGGGACTCTCACTGCCTACATCTTTTATGGGTTCTCTCTACTAATTATCGGGTAGTGGCTGCTAAACTGTAGGTAAAGAGAGTTACAGGTGCTCCTATGATAAGGATGTCTCAGCAGGGTACAGTATCCCGTGGAACTACGGGAACCTTCTGTGCAGCATTTGGACATTTGGAAAGGCATAGGTCAGAGCGTTGAGGTCTTGGAAAGGTCTGGAGTCAGGAGCTGCGAGAACTATAAGGTTGGTTGGGCCTGGGGTCTGAAACCAGCTCCCATGTTCCTATGAAGTCATAGAAGAGCTGAGACTGGAATACTCGGAATTAGGTTGGAACTCGGCTGTTGAGTTTTGCATTCGATACGACACCTGCGTTCCCGTGTCTGGCATCGGAAGCCGGCATTCAAAGCGAAGGAGGCGGGATGAGTTGAAGCACGCCCAAACGCCACTCAATCAAAGCCCGCCTGAGCATCGGCCTCAGCAGCACGCGCCGTGGCAAGCTCAGACTGCAAGAGTGCCTGCAATCACAGGCGCCCTCGAGGAGCCTAACTGGATTGAAAGCTCTCGTGTGCATTCTCGTGCCCGCAGCCTTCCACGTCCTTCAATTCAGACTTCACATTAGCAAAGTATGTCAGTGGAAGCACAAGAGGCATTGCCTCGGCATGCTAGCATGAGGTCTCGTCGCTTTAAGCTGGAAGGTCTGCAAGTTCTGGGAGTATGTTGATGCCCAGCCTTCGTGTCTGTGTTTGTGTTGTGTTGCTCTTGCTGCACACAGCTTAACAAGACTTCCACCGTCTCCGAATGGTGTATGTCACGAATGCGGCCTGCACTGCGCATAGCAAGGACGCTCGGAGTGCTCTCGTTGGACGACATTGAAATCATCAAACCCTAAACCCGAAACCCGAAATGTCGGGTACATGGACCCACACACTCCCTCCGGCCTCCCGGGCATCCCAGGCCTCCTGAGAGCCAGAGAGCAGACACGAAAGCAGCGATTTCTTTGTTGCATCTCCGATGCCCGAATCGCCCTCCCAAAACTTCCCAAGGAAGCCAAGTCATCCAAATTGGACTTGTCCCCCCTCCTCCCGCGCTTCCCCGGAGAGCGGCTCATCCCCGAAAAACCCCGATATCAAGGGGGAACACTCCCAAAAAGGGGCAGAGCCAAGCGGCTTTGGGCCCCAGGATCTCCGATTGCACTTTCTGGCAATGCGCGTCTCGGCGCAGGCGGACGCTTTCGAGGATCTCCCGGGTGTGGTTGAGCCGCGCTTCGGCTCCCCGCTCCAGGTCACTGGCCAAGGATGCAGGCACCTCTGGGTTCTTCTTGAGGATCTATAGTAAATAATATGGTTTCCTTATATTATGGTAACTTAAATTGAATCCCTTAGTAACAGCTAAGAGATATTACCCAGGTCTGTTGGACCACAACGCCCGGAACCCTCACGAACTTTATCTAAAGATCTCCCGGGAGCTGCGAAAACCTAATCTTGAGACGGCGCCAAAGTGCGCGCGAAGTCGTGCGTGCACAGGGCCCTAGCAAAAAAAATTGAATCCCTTAACAAGAACCCAGCCTCTGGGAGGGCAGCGTAGGCGCTGGCGTGGCGGCTTGTGGCGGCCACGTGAAGGAGTCCTTGTGTCGAGGAGAGCCGATCGCAGGCGGCCTGCAGTTTGGCCAGCCCGGCTTCGGCGACCTCTGAAATTTGCCTCTCGTGCTCTGCAAGCAGCGCGCAAAGAGTCAGGTTGGGTCTTATCTTTCTCAAGTTCAACTCGGCATCGCTCGTCGCCCGCATTGCGGTCAAGAGCCTTGCCTCCGCTTCACTCCTCCTCACGTCACAGTCTCGCAGGTCTTCTTGGGCATGCTTGATGGAAAGGCTTACCTGCAGGGACAGGAGTCTTGGCACAAAGCGCAGTTCTGCCTTAAAGAGAATGGCAGAACCACATGCAGCAGCTGGAAATTTGGAACCTTAAGCCCTATAACCCACAGTGCCTGCACCATCTCCTGCTTCAGCGCCTCCAGCAGATTCGTGGCTGCAGACAGGAAGCGCTCCTCGGACTCCGAGATCTCCGTGCTGAGAGCTGGGGGGAAGGTGGCCTCGGATCCCCAAGGGGAGCCGAGCCTCTGTTGATGCCGAGGCCGCTTCTTTCGGCTCTCCGCTACCGGAGCTTCTTCCTTGCAGTTTTCTGGACACTTTGTCGCCTGCGCTTGTCCCGGCTGCGTGTCGAGTCCTCTGTGCTTGTCCAAGAAATCCTGAAACTGTCGCCACTCGCAAAGCTGCACCTGCACTGTTGAAGCACTGAGCTGTCCGCGGGAAGTGCTGACCTGGGCCAGAATTAGTGGGCATCCGGCAAAGCGTCGCGTGGCCAAGAGTTCTACCTGATCCAGCATAGACCAGAAGCCCTGGGCGGCGTCGGACGTCGACAGGTTCGCTGCGGCCGTGATCTTCTGAAGGCTCTGCTGGCAGCGTCTCGGGGAGTTCTTATGGTCAGGTGCCAGGCGCTGGAAGGCCTTGAAAGCTCCAAGGCCCACGTTGCAGGACTCAGCTAGCAGCTCTAAGTCGGGATAGGCGATATCCATCGTGACCATCAGCATCTTGGTCCATGTTTCTCCCAGACCCTGAGCCGACTGAATGGTGCCAGAGATCAGGTGGAACTTTTCTGAGCTGCTGAGCGAATGATCTTGGATAACCGGCCAAACTTTCTCGGCAATTTCCAGCAAGGTCCGCGTGCGCCGGGCTACGTTCCTGACCAAGTTCTCGTCATCATCTGGGCATAGGCGTTGTGGAATCGACCGAAAGGCCCCTGTTTGCAAAGGCTGACGGGTACGGCGCCGGAACTCCAGCATGGCCAGCGTCATCGCACCGTCGTCAGCGAACTGGGACGCGGGGTCTTTCCAAAAGTCCTCCTGTTGCAGCATTCTTGGAAGCTGAGCCTCCCGAAACACTGCACCCTTGCAGTGTGCCCGATAAACAAACATAGCCAAAAATCGCCGCCAAGCGTTCCAGGGAAGATCGTCGTTGTGAAGGATCTGTGTTACAACAAAGAACTCATGAGGTCCGAGAACGGTATGAAATGGAACCCACTTCTCCTTCTTGCCAAGGTTTGGCTGCGCCCAAGTTCGGAAAAGTGGCCAGAAGTCAACAGCCTTTTGATCCTGAAGCTGCAACTCTTCGTCGAGGCATGTCGAGGCCTTTGAACCGCGAAAAAAATACACTATAATGAATCCATGCATGCATTTCGCCTTTGACCCCGCCTCTAAGCACAGCTGACACTGCAAGAACTGGAAAAAATCATCAATTGTGACTTGTAGGAGCTCATCGGGGATTTCGGCCATGCGCCGCAAACGACGATGCAATGGGTTCGAAGAATACGCCGCCCATAGCAACCCCAGGCTGCCAACGCATTCGGAACGTAGGTTCGCTATACTGTACTCAAAACTGTTGACACAAGTGCTTCCAAGCACTTAAGCAAACGCATCCCTCCCATTGCACTACCAAGGCTGAAGCAGCAATGCCAGGGCTGCCTGCCGATAAACGGCTTCAAACTTCAACTCCTTCGTTCAGTGACAACCACTTCTGGGAGCCGAGAAATCGCCATGGTTGCAACAGCGATGGCTCTTGGTGAGCAGCTGCGTCACATGCAAATGCGCGTAACTCTACAACATGTGCTTCGGATCTCGACATTGTGCAGTGGGGGGTCCGCACAACGGCGTTCCACAAGAATCACATGTAGCTTGCAATGATGTGAAATGACGAAGGAGTCCTGGTTCCAGGTGGTTCCGATTGAATTTGCTTACATTGTCTGAACGCGAATGAACCACACCGGCGCTACGGGAATCGCACTATGGCTCTTCTTGATTTCTCTCTCTGTCTACTATTTTCGTAACTTTAACAATCACAGCTGAACTGTTACGAGATCCATCATGAACGGCCTTGGATACCTCCAGGGCAAACGGGGCCGATGTAAGGCCGAGGCCGGGCCCAGCACAGCCGCGGCCACATCACGTTCGGAGGCCCCGGGCCTTCGATTTCACCAAAGTACCTATAGTCTCCATTGTAGTTCCTTTTTGGGGTTGCAGTACCTTTTAGGATCCTTCATATAGAATTGAAACCAAAAAAAGCAACTACAATGGAGACTACAGGTAGTGCACGGATTTTTCCTTCCCGAACACCCTGTGCTTGTCACTTGGACAGGGTTCCGGCAGTTCCGAGACCGGTAACCGTAATGTGCACAAGACTTGGACTCGCAAAATGCCCCGTGCTAAGAGGCATAAGTTACGTCCCACGTTACACACCTCTCCTTGTTCACAGCACGCTGGCTTAGTGTCGGATAGTATTCGCCAAATCCTCCGGCCAAGACCAAACAACCGCTTCAATGGACTCCGCATGCGCAAGAATTGAGAGTATGACCACCTGTGACGAAACAACCCCACGAAGAGGCAGTCCGGTGAACGAGCAGAAGCAGCATGGGAAAGCCACAGCTTGAGACGAAACATCCCGAGGCTCAGAACAAGAGAAGCTGTGACGACGTTGGAATCTAGCCTCAACGTAGCAAAAATAAGCAACAACAAGATGGCAACAACATGGGACTGGAACACAGGAAGTGACCATGAGAGAAGCAAAGCACAGGAATTGGTGTCTTGACTGACATGAAACAAAACAAGCCAAGCCCAAGAGCCTGGGAGTGCGACCACTTGAGACAACATTAAGGCTTCAGAGTTTCTGCAGCTGCTTATATATGTATGTATGTATATATATATATATACAAAAGCTCAAGGCTGCAACACCACTTGCACATGGCACGGTGGTTCGAGACACATGGAACAGAGCCAGAGCTCGAGACACATGAGTCTGAGCCACAAGGGAAGTCTCAATGTACAAAACGGGAGCGTCCTGCAAATACCTGAGACAAAGGATCGAGCAAGTACGACTGGATGACGCTTGAAATCCGACTTGACGTCTGGTCCAAGCCTGCAGGCAGTCTCGCAGAACTGTCCCAAAGGCGAGGGCAGCGTCGCGCCACCTCTAGGCTTCGGCTTAGTCTGGTTCATACTATCTACCTATTTATCTATTGATCTCTCCATCTCTATCCGTACCCATATCTATACATATATCTCTAATTTATATATATATATATCTATCTATCTATACCAAAGTGACCTACATATCTTATCTCGTATACTGTTGGACGCGTGGAGGCCTGAGCACAGACCTTGCAAGAATCTACTTCAGCGCCGTCGGATCCAGGAGCTATACAGTTACTCAGATACTCAGGCTCGCGCCGAGGCCCCAAGACCTGCCAAAAGGAGCACAGGACAGCTTGTTTAGGGTTCGATTTTTCCCTCCCACTTAGCCAGGACGAGCCCGCATTGCAGGGTAGTTCGGGTGCCCTGCAATGCGGCCTCGTCCTGGCTAAGTTTGTTTAGGGTTCAGGATTCAGGGTTTAGGCTGAGCACTTGCTGACTTTACTGTTGGAATCGGGTTCCCATTTCCCGCCTGGCATCCAATGCCCCGACGACGCGCTGGAAAAGACTGAACCTAGGCTCGCCCCAGCTCGGCGGCTTGGCGTGGGAATCTGCTTGGGACTCCGAAGATCCTGCTCCGCGCCGCCCTCGTCGCAAATCTCTTCTAAACCCTAAACCCGAATAATGGAGTCCTTTTAACCGCCTGGAAACCGAAGAAAAGCACCCAAGAGCCGAGGAAAGCACGGTAGAAGCGCCTCTACCTGAGCTTTGGCCGCAGCCTGACGAGATCCGATCTTCCATGGAAACGACGGGCACTCGAAAGCAAGTCTTGCCCAGACCTTCGGTGCACCAAGTTTTGCTGCCAGCGAGCGAACCTGACAGCATGAGGACGTGCAGAAAGAACAGCCTTTGAAGCTAGTCTATTCGCACGATATATTAGTTCTCACAATGCCTTTGCAACTGGCAAATGCTGTTCCGTTGACTCAGGTGCATGCGAGCCGGCGGTGAGCCTGTGCCAAACCTCGATCGGATGGCCTTCGAGCCGGAATTTGGATTGCCACGACAAAGTAACAATAATAATACTAATAACAATAATGATAATAATAATAATAGTAATGCATATATAGATATATACATATATATATATATGCTGTGCCGTCACCCTGCCTGGCCCCTCTGGGAGCAGACCTCAAAACAGCGCGGAGCCTGGAACTTTGCAGGCGTGGCATGTGCCGCTTGAAAGCGGAACGACTAGTACGTAAGTCTTCCATGCTCTTGATACGAATCGAATGTCACAAACAGCAAAATCTCTGAGAAGTGCACGATGACATGAAAGCTCTCTTGTTAAAGAGCTTGTGGGTGAGCACAGAAGATGCACCTGTCCATGGTAACATGATGTATTACGGGAAATCCGCGAGGATTCTGTGGCAGCCTTTGGGTTGGAGCATGGCGTTTGCGATGATCTTGGCTGCTGCGAGGAGAAGCGGATTCTTCTCCCTCAGCAACTTGGGCGATGCTGTGCAAGCATCAGTAGGGTTTCGGGTTAAGGGTTTAGAGTAGACGAGACTGCGAATACTGAGCCCACAGCGCCGGTATAGCAACATGCTGCTCCAAACAATCCAACGAGCAGAAGCAAAGGTCCGCCTGCATGCAGTCGGAACCCCAGTACTGGAAGTCAACACAGCACATGCTCGAGGATCTAATTCTTTATGTACGGTGAGACCACAATAGAACAACCAAGTGAAACATGGTTTCTACTATCATGACTCTGCCTCGGGGCTGCCTTCCGGTGCTTTGGGAAGAGCGTAGAGCCTCTGAGGCTCTGCAAGAATGGCTGCATCAACGACGCTTAAGGCTCAGGGACTGCCGGACTTGTGCCAAAGACCAGCTGCCAGCTGCTGTCAGGTCACCCCGAAGATGGTGCACTACCTGCCCACTGCGCCAGGAATGCTTGCATCCAAAGTACAGATGTAGGCCAGCAGAGAATACCACTGAGAACGCACGAGACGATCTGGCCGTTGTCGGAAATGGACCCGTTAAATTGTCAAATCTGAATGTGTGTATATATATATATGTATGTATGTATATTATATATATATATATGAACCACAGACATAGGCATTGAGTCAATGATTCATCAAGACGAAGACAATCATGGTTTCGGCAGCTTGTGGCCGCAGGCAGTGAGGGACGCTGAAAAGCCGGAGCCGCCCAACGCGCCTTCACTAGATGTTCTCTAAATCTCAGAACTAGCCACTACAGTGGTGCTTGTATTTACATATACACGTACATACATACATACATACATACATACATACATACATACATACATACATACATACACATATATATATATCGAAAATATACGCACGTACATGCATACATACAAACAAATATACATGCATGCATACATGCCCATATATAAACATATATGTATATATGTATACATATGTATTAACACATGCAAATACATAACTTGCTTCATACATATACATACACACACACGCACATAAACATAAAACATGAACATGGACACATACATATGCATACCCATCCGTCCATCCATCCATTCATTTCATTTCATTCATTCATTCATTCATTCATTCATTTCATTCCATTTCATTCCATTTCATTTCATTTCATTCCATTCATTCATTCATTCATTCATTCATTCATTCATTCATTCATTCATTCATTCATTCATTCATTCATATATATATATATACATATGTGTGTGTGTTGTGTGTGCATGCATATGCACAACATGCGATAAGCTTTACTCGCAGCGTCGCTGGGATGCAACCGGATTTCCAGCCTGGTAGTGGCTTCATCTTTGTAGCAAAGTCCAGCCACCGAGATAATTCCGCCTCATCCCCACCTGCTGTCCGGAGTTGGTTTACGGATTAAAGACGGCTTAAAGGGAGAGGCCTGAACTTGGCAGGTTGTTTTGGAAATCTAAGGAATGATAATACTAACTACTCAGGCCCCTATATCCAGTGAGCTGGGTGCCTGTGTTCCGCACGATGCCCATGAGCTCGGCTCGACCTCGCCATTCGTCGTTGTGACGTCTTTCATCGACTTCACTGGACACCGGCTACAGTAAGCAAAACCCCAAACTCCGATATCCCAAAAACTCTGGCACCAAGAGACGCTAAGTTTCCGGCTGGTGCCCGCAGCCAGCGCCAAGGACGCCTGGAGCTGGCCGCAGCTGCGTCCGCACGATGCACCTCAGAATTCTTGAAACTACGACCTTTGCCACTCGCAGGTTTTGCGAGGCTTCCTGGCGTTGTGCTGTATACTCGTGCTTCAATGTACTCTACCTATAAAATCTCCATTGTAGTTCCTTCTTGGGGTTACCTTTTAGGATCCTTAATATAGAATTGGTTAAACTAAAAAAAGGAACTACATTGGAGACTACAGGTAGTCTGAACACTCGGACAATGATCGTCGTATGCTAGAGAACTCCTGGCTCCTAGCTCCGAATTCCCGGATATCAGGTGCACAGTTTACGCACGAGGACGGACAAAAGACTGGCTGGAAGGCACGGTCACTATGAAATACTCGCGTTGGCTTTTGCAGCACAGCGTGTCGAGTTTCCTTGCAGCCCGGAACGAACTCGATGGTTCAAGCAACATAGGTGAGAATAAAGAACGCTGACTTCAGTAGCTGCCTCTGGTCTGAGGCTCCATCAGAATAAAGGTTGTTCTGACAGGTGGTCTTGCCGAGATCGCGGAGCCTCCACACGCACGATTTCGACACTCTTGCGCAAGAGCCAGGTTCCATGTTGGATCCGCAGAGCCGTAGGCAGCTTCACTGGCTGGAGGCATTTTTTCCCTTGCGGTGCTGCGGTGCGTGCATACATCGGGGAAGCCCTCGAGGCAATTCCTTCATGAAACGTGAGGCGCATATGTGCAGTGAACATGCGGCAAAGCCGCCAGGGACTGTAGAATAGAAGACGACGCATCGGTCTATATCGGTGTTGGGATTAATATAGCCGTCCTCTGCACGCAAACAGATGTTGAGCTGGTCGTGGACCTTTTGTGTTCCTCGACCGCTTCGTGTGTCCATGCCACACGTGCAAGCGCACGCTGGTCCGTACTGGTTCAAGGGCTTTGCTTCCTCTCCAGAAGCAAGGCTCCTCATGACTCCATGGTGAGACTGCGATGAAAAACGCCCGATCTGCATCTTCTACGTCCCTGCAGGTAAAACATCATGCCGTGCGACGGTGCCTACAGATGCTGGGTAAGTAGGAGTGCATGCTGACAAGTGGCCACGGGCAGGTACCACAAAGTGCAAGAATGCAGAATGCTGTACAAATCAACAAGACATTGACCAAGTCTGTTGTAGTGAAGTGAGGAATGCTTAACGTCCACGGAGGCAAGCCGCACTTCGTACCTCGGGTTCCCGCATGGTATCCCACCGGAAGCCTATTCCATCGGGCGGAAATAACCTAAATGTTCAACGCCCCCTTATACGGGAGACTTGTGTGGTCGTGCCGCAGCCAACGCCAGTGAAACTCAGGCATCAAATACTGAAAGTATTGTTGCAAAGCTGAAGATGCAAGGAGTCTAGCCGTCCCACCACACCATAACTGACATCGCCGCAGCTTGAATTCAGGGCGAGGTGAAGGCCATTCCACGGGACAAACCTCAATGGAAGCAGCACTACTTCTTCCCCAACTCGTCCTGGTCGCCTTGGCATCCAAAACGCAGTCTCCGGCTCATGATTCGGGAAGCTGAGCGACTAGGCATCCGGCTGAGGTTGACATCAAGCTCCTCTGGATCGCAATAGGTCTCGCCCTGCAGCAGCATGAACACAGCTTTCGGCTTTTTCTGAGAGACTCTTCGAGTGACTTTGAGGCCTTGGGTTCCCAGGGCGGCTGCAGTTCTCGACCCAGCAGCCTCAAGGGCTAAAGTAAACAACAAAGATCCGCATATGACAGAGCGAGAGAGACGGACAGAGAGAGAGAGAGAGAGAGAGAGAGAGACAGAGAGAGAGATAGAGAGGAAGGGGGAGAGAGGGCAAGCTTCGCATCACCAAGCCACTTGTCAAACACGCAGCCGCCCTGATGACCTTGTAGGAAGAAGTCTGCGCCACGAACATCCTGAGGCAGAGAAACTCCACTGAGTCCAACTGTCAGTTTCTAGAACTTTGACGCCTGTCATGGCGAATGCAACATTCTGTTCCCAACTCACTAAATGCCCATGCACCGATGCTAATTGACCTTAAAGGTGACATCCCAATGCCCATGTGCAACTACTACCGGTAGCATGCACCAGACAGCAGCAAGTTCGGCTATTGCGGTCCGTACGAAAGAACCTTACAATGCTCCCTGCAAGCGTCCTCCCAGCCGCCAATGCCGGAGCCCAGCCGCTTACCTCGCGCAATTCTTCCTACTGAGAACCCACAGTCGGCCAGCTATGCCGAGCCTTTCGCATCGGTTACTAGAAAAGGGAATCTGGAGTCTGTGCCCTGAATATTTGAATATCTCTGCTCAGTATCAAGCACAATGGCTGGCACGGTGCCAGCATTGAGGGACTGTTCAGCCCAGGCACGAGGTTGTCTTGTGAGGAGGCCCTTCATCAGCGTCTTGCCATTCGCCTGAGAGTCTGCGCCAAGAGCAATGATCCACACACAATCGACCAGATGCCGTCGAGATGCATCCTTGTAGCTGGATGCAAACTGAAGGGGGTCCTGGTAGACGTTCAAAAAGCAAGCAGCCTAAGCAAACACACCTCTAGACTCTCGGCCCCATTGGGCTGGGAGAACAGCTGCGCCTGGGAAAGAGACATGGAGGCACATGCACCGTCTCGGACCGGTGCTGCATCAATGTCTATATGAACTCATACCTAGTCATATATATGCACATGTACATGCCTGCATACATACATGCATGCACCTATGCATAAACATCATACACACACATATATATATATCCATTCAACCATCCATCCAACCAGCCAGCCAGCCATCCGTACATTGATCATTGTCCATGCAGGCATGCAGGCAGGCAGTCTATCTATCGTTCTTCTGCTTCCTCTTGTTATCGTGCAAATCTATTTCCCCTATGCAGGAGTGCATACGTATCTGTTCAGTCAGCCAAGCATGCAACACATCAAATGATCATGTCTCGAAATTTGGCGTGTCAGGTCGAAAAGTCCTTCAGGACTGCCGTGCACACCTCGGTGGGATCGTCCAAGTCATCGGCAAACGGGAGATAGCCTGAAGCAGGAGGGTCAAAGGGAGGAATGTTGCTTTTTCTTGGACAGCCGACCAAGTACCAGAGCAGGTCAAGCAAATGTGTAGGCGCATGACTTAATTTGAGCACCTGCACAGCAGCAGAGACCAAAAAACTTCTGCAGTTGACGGCAAAGCTCAGTGAACGCCCGCGTGCTGGAGTGCAGGCAGGTCGCCGCACACGAACTCGTAGAGCATGACTCCCATGGACCACAGGTCAACCTGCGCAGGCGATTGTGCAGGCGCCAAGGCTTTGAACATCCCAGGTCATGGCAGTCATGGCATAACCTTGTTTTGCGTTCACACTCGGCCTGCCTTGTGATGACAGCCTTTCGTTGGCTTCAGTCACTTCAGTCAATACTAAGAGTAAGCGCTACTCTTGTGATGTACCTCCTGGGCCTGAAACTATTTGTTCTGCTGCCGCCACTCGTAGTTTCTTCACTACTACGTGTATCGCAGTAGGCAATGCTTTCGCATATTGCTGGTGTTGCGAACATCATTTCTGGCGAACACTATTAAAGGAAACTACAGGTGGGCAGTTTAGGGTACATAGGGCTTCCATTAGGCTTCAATTTGGTTTGTAGACCTTCTAGAAGGCTCCTATAACGGTAACTACCCACCTGAAAATGTCCTAGACACTACTGCCAGACGGCTAAATTATAACTATGACTGTGCTCAGGGCTGTTTATCGCCATCCTGATGAGCAGTACCTGCCTCCTGGCATTTTGGCAAGCAGAAAAACTCGAGTTCTCGGCTCCGAGGCAGAACCCAAATGGTAGCATCACCGACATTAGCAAAGGCTCCGCGCTATCTCCTAAAGTCCTGGACCCTACCTAAAACCTTGAACCCGGCCTCTGTTCCATAGCCATGGCCCCGCATCACCTCCGGGGCCATGTAGTGCGGCGTGCCGATCCTCGAGTCAGAGCAGCTTGCAGCTCTCTTTGACTTACGCAAGCTTTGATGGGGGCTGGGCGGTTGGTTCGGGAGCCGGATAGTTCAACAACTTCTTTCCGCTGTTCGAGCAATGTGTCTCAGGAAGAACAGGCACTGCCAAAGAGATGCACTGCCCTGACGTCCTGTTGTGCCACTCAGAATCAGAAGGCTAGAGCGAAAAATGCCGAGCGTCATTGTGAAGGTCTTGCTCTCCCCTTCTGGCAGCTTCTTGGCGATGCCGAAGTCGATCAGCTTCAAGTAGCCCTGTGCATCAAGCATCACCTCGGAAATACCATCGAAGCCAGACCGAGTGATTTTACAAGCTACCAAGCCTGTGGGCCTATGTTCCAGCTATTCAGCCACCTTTGTACTTGTTCTCCCAGCATATTTGCGCAGTTTTATGGCGCTCGGGAAAACATCCCGAGCACTTTGCCATGGACGCCAAGGCACATTCTCCGGCTTCAGGTCTCTATACCTTGGATGTTCACCCTCTTGCTGGTGGGTAGCTCTCTAAATTGGGGTCCCTTTCGGGGTCCCCAAAATAGACGGCACCCTGAAAAAAGGACCCGAAAAGGGACCCTAGTTTAGACAACTACCCTGGTAATTCCGGCATACGTCTTCCAGCTAACATCCTCATTGTCCTCACCCAAAACCTAATGAAGCATCTCAATGGGCCAAATCTTCAATCAGTATTCACAATTCTGTGTCACAGCTGCCAGCACTTGTTTTGCCACGGCTGCTCACGCAAAATAGTGTAATGCCGTAAGTCTAAGCCCGGCACAAGATGTTCCGCTCAGAAAGCTCCTGCAATGGACAACACTGAAGCATGACTACACTGCCAAGGTTGCGAAGATACGCTCTCTGTCTGCTGCTTCTGTTCAGCTGCTTCGACACGTCTGGATCATACCTGCACCCGGTTACACTGTTTTACAACAAGTGGAAACACTCGGGAAGAGTGTGTAATTATGCCATATCATGCCATGTCCAGTGTCTTGCATCCCTCCACGGTGCAAAAGACTTCGAGTCCTCCAGGACGATAACCAAAGAGCCCGTATAAAACTGGGCCTGGCGGGGCGGAGCAGGACCGCTTTCTGCGAACACCCTCCCGCATAAAGTGGAGCTTCAGTTCCTTGAGCTACTCCCACAGAAGGGAATGGAATGCGCCAGCCCGGTGCGTGCAAAGAAGTCTAGCACCGGAGTCGACGTCCAGCCTGAGCCCTGGAGAGGACGGTGGGTATCTCTCTGATTGCACCTTGAGAAGGATTCGGACGCTAACAAAAACTCCCCAGGCGAGGTTCTCATAAGCCCTGGCTCCGCAGTCGGATCTCGGTCGGATCTCAGGACTGATGCATCAGGGTTAGCCCTTTAGGGTATCTCCCTGGTTGCACGGATCAACCAGGAGGCAGTCTGAGACTTCGGGTTGAGAACAAAACCGAAAAGCAGGTGAACGTCTCAGGCGAAACGCCGTGCAGCTCTCCTCCAGTGATCAGCTCCGTGAGAATGTAGACCTGAGCTGTAAAACATGTAAAAACGATTGAAAACTTGGAACTTGTTGTGACTTCCTTGGCTGGGTTAAGGGCACTCTTCTTGGTCTCGAAGGTATTCACCTGTGTCATGATGAAGGGGTGGTCGATGTCTTTCCTGAGATCAGACAAGGGAATGCTCTTGGCTAAAAGCCGCTTACAGGAAGCTCCTTGAGCGAAGGTTCAGAAGGGAGCACTCGCGCTGCACCTCCTCTGGCACCTCTCCATCCACTTTCTTTACTCGCTTGAGCCTTGAGTGCAACCGGATCCGCCAGAAAAACAAGGAGCTTCCGCACACCGCAGCAGAGTGCGGTACACGTGCAGTGGCATTCTCGGAGTGCTTTCTGAGGAGCGCGTACCGCATCCCCGTCGACTTGTGCTCCACCAAGCGGACGACCCCAGCAGCACCTGGAAGAAACGAAAAACGCAGGCGATGCCAAAGACAACAAGGCCTTGAAGCGTTCCAGCAAGCAATTCCGATAAGGAGATGCAGATGCTCCGCCTGCACCGATGACCTTGATCTGGATAAGGTCCTTTAAGCCAAAATTGGTATCTTGAAGCCTGGCGGGTGCAACTGAACTCTGGAGCTCAAGGCTTCAAGGCACCGGCCTGATGCGATTCATCAGCTGCTGCTGCCTGAGATCACAAAAAATGTTCATCTGAAGATATATCTGCGGCGGACCACGACCCCGAACTGTCTGGTTCCAAGCCACATGTTGCCCGCGATAATCTTTTCAAAGGTTGCCTGGCATCGAAGCGGAGAAGTTGAAAGTGGCAAGACAGACAGAGGCTTCGTGATGCGGCCTTCTCGATGGCCCAGAGCTCCGCATCTGGTGAGACCACCTGGCGGCAAAGCCGGTGTCAGGAGAAGCGGAAGTGCTGTGGAGCATTGAAAGCAACAGACTTTCCCCAGCAAAGAGACTTCTGCCACGGCTTGCACGGCTTGCATACATTGGCATTCAGTGCCAGCTCACCTTCACCGTGGCCGTTCGAGGCTCATGGAAAAGGAGCGCGCGCTCACCTGGGGTGATGAGCCGACTGGCGCTTCGAAGTCTCTCAAGCCCTGACAGCCAGGAAGCCAATATAGGAATTCCGGGTCATTCGCCGCACCTCGGACGGGAGGGTGCGTGACCTCTGCAAGAAGGTCAGTGAATCCCTGAAGGGGAGGCACACTCTTGTCGTTAATGAAGACCTCCAGCTCGCCATTGGCGATAACAAAGAAGGATGTCCCAGGGGTCCCTTGCTCGATCACCTCATTCTCGCAAACGTGGGACCGGAAGGGTCTGGGGCTTACGGCTACTGGAAACAAAAAAGCCCCGGAAAGGGGCAGCATCACTTGCCGGTAGGCCAGGATCACATCGCCCAAGATCCAGATAAAGAAGCCTTCTGAAGCGCGGGACAAGATGCAGTGGCGCCCTGAGAGAACTTCATGGTTACAAACCTTGGCCGGCATGGCAGGGAATCGCATCTTGGCCCTCGTCGGAGCAGCTTTGGCTGTGGTGTGGCCAAGGAACGACTCAACGACCTTCTTGGTCTGCTCCTCGGAAAGATGCCTGAAGATGTGAACCTGCCATGGCATTTTGCTAGAAAGTTAGGGGCGACTTCGGGAATTCGAAGTCTCGGGCACCCTCCATCGAATCTCGGAAAGGTGGTGTTATACAACAAGCAATCACTGCCTTCTTGGCCAGGATCATCTTCCGCGTGAAATCCGATGCATCGTTTTCGCTGTTGGCCTGTGCGGACAAACGCACCAACTCGTAGCGCCGCGTCCAGGGGGAGCTAACCTCTGTGGGCACAAGATTCAACTGCCAAGGCGCGATGGAAACTCCCAAGGCTTTCAAGGCAGATGCCATTCCGTCTCGGGTCAACATTGCCACCCTGGCCGACACAGCACACTTCTGACATCATGTGGAATGTGCGCGTGTGTAATTTGCATGCATCCGCGCCATTCTAACCACGAACCGTGACAGCACCCACCCCAAACCATGAACCCGGAGATGCTTTGCCGTATAGCTACACACTATGAACCCTGAACCCTGCGATCTGCGACCAAGGCGCTTGGCACCCTCGGACCCCGACTTCATGTTCTTGATTGAGCTTTCTTTGCTGCTGCTATTCAGCAATGCCTGGCCGCAGGTACAGCACTGAGTGGCTATCGGCTTGCTGGACACGAGACACTTCGACTGGCACGGGTCACTGCAAACCTTCAAAGCATAGGCATGAGCAGCCGTAGTAACTGTGAGCATACGGAGCAGCTTTGTTCAGTCCTATCACAACAAGTTCTTTGCGCTGGCGAACCGGCAGCGGACGCAGCATGCTTTGTACTGCTGCTGTTGATGCTGTCAGGGCCTCATCCTCAATCCAGTCACCACGTGCGAGCTTGACCTCTTTGTCCTGCAGTCTCTACCCATTCAACAGGCTCATAAGTCCTTGGCTGAAACTCCACAACCAGTCTCTCATAGTATTAATTTCAGTCCTTTTCAAGCCCGGACAGCGAGCCCTCCAGCACGATAAGTATCCTGGCCGCTGCACCTGCCTCGAGATGCATCTCTGTTTCGTCAGCAACATCTCCTCTACACACCCTTGCTCTGATGTCTGGTGAACGTACTGCCGGACCCTGCCAAGCAGCCTCGGCTCCTGCAGCGTAGTCCTGACATGTATCTCATAACGATCTACCTATTTGGCCGGATAGCGGCTGTCAAACTCAAAAAATCGATTCACTGCGCCGCACTGCCACCGTCAAAGGCAGGCCGTGTCCTTAACGACGACCCACTTCATGAGCTCTGCTCTTTGCCCGGCCGTGAACTGCGAGATCACTGGGCCTGCAGCAAAGGAAATGGACACGGTCACGCTGAGGTGCAGCAGCTGATGTTGTTGAGTTCATGAAGGAGGAGTAAGAGGTCGTCATTGGCGATGTCGCTGCACCATCCGAGCAGTCGTTGTAGTAGTCGTCGTCGCGGTGGTAGGAGCGGTGATAGCAGCTGTATTCGTAGTACTTTTCGGCATAGTAGTAGTCGTCGTCGTCGTAGTAGTAGCCAAAGTCGTCGTCGTGAGATTAATGGTGGCATTGGCGCACGCGGAGGATGCAGGGTTTGGTAGGAGCTAACAAATCAGCGAGCAGCATCAAGTCGTCGTCGTGCGCAGATTTCGCGTGTAGTGAGTGTAGTGGAGGCAAGTGGGGGTGACGAGAACGGGGCGGCTGGTGGTTGCCGTAGTTTCTCCAGTGATAAACAGCTGCCCGCAATCAATGTCTGCACCGGAACTTCGAAGTCTAAACTCTAAACGCATGGAGCTAGCGACGCGACTGTAACGCACATGAATGCCGGCCTTTTCGTGAATAGGTAAATCGGAGTCACCGTGAATCCCCTTTTATTCCACCCACCACATAGCTGGTGCTTGATCCGGCTGCACAGTAAGCCTCAACAAACCTGACACGCTAAGGGCAGCGCATTTCTTGAGCCCCTGCGATATCGCGTTCCGCTCCAAAACGGCCCCGAGATCATCTCCAACAATGACCTGCGCGAGCTCTCAGGATCTGCAGCGCATTCTCAACGATGCGGGAAGGTGACATGGATCCATGTCTGGGCGTTCATCGCCGCGACTGCTTCTGTAATTTGATTCGATCGCGAGATTTATCGCTCCCATGTTACAATGGGCACGACACTTTGGGGTATTTTCTGCAGATGCTGCAGCTCACCCACTGCTCCTTTACTACGATCTATACTTCGCGCCTTGAGTTCTGCCACACTCACGCAGAGAAGCTCCGAGCGACCGCTGGCCAGGATGGTGATGTCAAACCTCGCTGGCGCGTGCGATGAGCGGTTTAGGGTTTAGGGTTTTCTTCCCAGAACATGGGTAAACAGACCTAAAGCACGGTACAACATGAAACGATGCACATGTACGGATAGAAAGAAAGCTAGATGCGTCGATAGGTAGGTTAGGCTCGCTAGACAGAGGCTCTGTCTTTCTATCTATCTACAATTCTAATTCTAATTATGTCCAATAATGAATCATATATGTATATATACATATAATACTGATACTAATAATAATACCAATAATACTAATACTAATACTAATATGATAACAACAATAGTATTAATAATAATAATAATAGTAAATAATAATAATAAATATAAACATATATATATATATATACATACTGAAAGGTACGCCGTGGAGCGGGGAGACCCTTCCACTCTCATTCTCTCTCTCGCTCTCTCTCTCGCTCTCGCTCTCGCTCTCTCTCTCTCTCTCTCTCTCTCTCTATATATATATATAGAGACATATATACACATAGTTCTATATCTATCTATATATATATGTATACATACATGCATACACATAATATGCACAGAGGTGTGCCAGCATGTAAGGACTGTACTGTACTTCTGGCCAACGAAATCAGTTGACCATGACCATGTGCAGCTGCGACACGGCTCCTTCGAAACCACTTGTGACTCTCCGAAGCAGTCCTGAGCAAAGCTTTGACAAGCTCTCCGCGTGGGATTTAAAGCCTCGACTCCTTGACTCTCACAATGGCGCTACGTCGAAGACAACTACTTCCTAGCTGTCGAGCATCACGAACGCGCATCTCGGTGACTCGTTTTCAAACCCAAGGATCACCTGTTGCTTTCACCCGCCTAGCTGGCTGGATGTTGGCGCACTGACACTGGCCACTTGGGGATGTATTCGACTCCCACAGCTCGGCGGACTGCGTGAGGTAGTCTGGCGATGTGTCTGTGCCAAATCGGCCGTAGCACTGTGTGCAATGATCCGGGTCTGCGAGGGTATCCACCGGCTTTCGGGTGTTTCGACTCATCTCGCGCTCGCAGAAGACAGGCAAGGCGGGTCTGGTCAGTCGATTACTCAGTTCAGGATTGCAGCTTCAAAAAAGCAGCAACAGAACGGCTTCAGGCTCAAATGTTACGCTCGGACCCGCCACGTGAAATTTTTCGTCGGCATGAAGCAAACGGAATGGCACGCGCGATGAACAAACCGAGGTTTGGGTCTTGGTCCTCACACTCGGACTCCCCATGCGAAGCATTTCCACATTCGCCTGCTTAAGAGATGATGCTAAGCCAGACCGCAACCTGCCCAACAAAATCCCGTGCAAAGGATGCCAAACCACAAAACAGCCGGCTTTGGGTCTGGGGAACCGGTCTAGGGAGGAAGAAGAACCGCTGTGGGAATCTTATGGTATGGACCTGGAATGGGAAGGGTTTCGCTTGCATCATTCGTCCCGTGACCATTGAATATACAGGGCCAGGAAATTGTTCGAACTCAGATCACCCTTCCTTGACTAACTAACTCCGCTTCGACAAGTTCCTTGAAAGGAATACTTTAAAGTCAAACAGCTCCCAACAGGCCAATCTAAACCAGGCTGACTCCAACACGACTGCCATCGGATTCGCTCCAAGTAACATTCGGCCCGAGACGTCCAATTTCAGAGCCATCTACGAACTCCCCTGTGCTTTTGACCTCAGCAGCGACATGCTCACGATGCCTGGGCACACGCACCGCCTCTGCTTGTGAGAGTGTGTGTGTGTGGGTTACATTGGTCACTCCTGCGTGAGTTGCATTTGCCTCCATGAATGCAAGGTGCTGAGATCAGGCCCAAATACTGCGAGCCTCTGAGCCGCCAGCATGTCCGCCCGAGTACACTGCCAGTTCGCCTCGCTCCACAGGTGCTTCTAAGGGTCCGTGGTTGCTCTTGGTTTGCTTCTGTGAATGCTGAAGAGCACCCTAGACTCGTTTTACAACCTTTTTCGTGCTGTCAAGGCATTCAACATAAATATACATAAATCCATGGAGGGGGGGAAGCACTGAGCGGTGCTACCCGGCAAACCCGCCGGAAGCCCCCGTCGCTGTCACTTTTTCACTTTCACTTTCAAGGCACGGAGTCCAGGTCGGACGCAGCCTAAGACGTGCAGTAATTAAACGTGGGAGGTGGCGCAGAACTCTCTAAACATAGTATGCGCTCACCAGACAGGGGTGGGATGTAACCAGCAAGCGGAAAAGCTGTCCCATCCCCACAACAAAATCAAAGATGGCACATGGACGATGCGTTAAAATTCCTGGCGCTGTCAGTCAGCTACAGTACAATGCCAGCCGTCACCACACCGAGCGAGCAACCCGGCAGAACAACAACCAACCAAACCCCATCCCCGGAACCCCACCAAAGAGCCGAACGCCGCGAACAACCACCCAGCCCAAAATCCCAACACCACCGCCCCTAAGACGAGATGCTGACAGATGACAAAGGGAATAGCCTGCTACCTCTAGCGACTCTAGCCTGTGCAGAGGGCAGATACTGAGAGCTCACGGCTCAGGCAAGGCCGCCGGCCCCGCCCCCTCTGTAGGTTCGGGCGGTGCCGTGCAAAACGTCAAAAGTCCTCCTCCGTTACTGGC